AGAAAAAAAAACAAAAACAAAAACAAGATAAAATAAACGGAGCTACTGCCTTTGAAAAGAGGGAGCAATCGCACTCAGTCTGCTGCAGCCTGGTGGAAAACTGTGGCAGATATGGTAATTTTGGGAGCCCACATGTGCTCGTGCATTGAGACCAGAACAGAAGCCGCTTTTAATGTGAATGCCCAATGAGACATTCCTGCGTCCCACTCAAAACGCGACGGTGTATGCAGAGTGCCTACGCCGCTGATCCATGGCCAATTGGACCCTTACGGACCCTGAACCAGCACGATATGCTAGTGAGGCTTGGCAGCGCTTAGGGCTATCAGATCCCTGTCCGATAAACCACCCCAGCGATGGGAGACCCAACATAATAAGGGGAAGGTCAAAGCCTTGGGTCCCCCAGGAGGGTGGTGAGCGTCCTTTTTGTTCGTATTCTGAACACTTCTGTCTCCGGGAATCACTGTGTCTATTACATCTGCGTCGTGACACACTGGCTGAGAATCATGAGAAAAGGATATTGATATTTGTTTCGGAACTTTTTTCTCAGCCTCACCCTCCAGTCTCTGCTCTGTGCTTCCGCGATGACATGCTACCTCCCAAATGGTGAGATAGCTCCTAATGGCCAGCCTTGCTTTCCTCAGAATCCGGTCTCCTCGTGCTGTGGAGGCAGCGGATATGTTTGCTCAACAAACAACATGTGCGCTCACTACAGCGGGCAGTACTATGTCATTGGCAGCTGCACGGATAAAACCTGGAACTGACCGGGCTGCTCGGGGTACTGTTTTTTCAATAAGTGGTCTTGGCTGGCATCTTTACCTACCCTGTGATAACCAGCGTCTAACAGGGGACCATATCCATAACTCGGTCTTCCGATGCTCGGCCGATAAATACTGCTGCGCCGATGGCCCTCCTTGTAACTGCACCACAGGCATCAATGCACACACGATATTAAAGACTTTTTGCCTCCGTATGCTGATCTTGTCGGGTCCCCTGCCGCCCTCAACACGACTGTTGTGACAAGCTCGTTGTTCACACCCATTGGAGCAACCTCCACACCGATAACGTCAGCCCCAGCCTCCACGAAGGAGATTTCATCTACAGCGTTGACTACATCCACCAGGCCGGTATCGACATTATCAGACCCATCACCATCGCCTTCATCGGCTGGAAAAACAGGAGAGAGTGTCTCTGGAGATAACAGCGGTACGAAAATAGGTCTTGGAGTAGGAATCTCGGTGGGTGCAGTGGCAATTGGCCTCGCAGCTCTGTGGTACATGCTATGGCGACGATCCAAAAAGAACAAATCAAACATCCAGGCAAGCCAGATTGCATCAGATGAGTAGGTGTGCAAATCTAACCACTTGGCTGCAGGCACCGTCCACACAATACAAATCCCCATCCCAATCCCAGGCTCACCCACTAGCGGAGATGCCAGGTGAGCCCCCCAGGCCGCCGGGGCCTATATATGAAGCACCATAATTATCCGACGAGAAAACATTTGTTTCAAGCAACTCGATATAGCGTGGGTACTTCCTTGCCCAAGCTCGGTTACACGGAGATGATCTTGATATCTCTCTTTTTTTCAGTATACTCGGGTAGTGTGTGCAGGTCATACTACATATAATGCAGATACCCTGTTACAGCACGAGGCATAAAGCCCCGGTGCATTAATCAGTAGCCCAGGAAGACGCTGTACATAATATAACATACGTTCCCCTTTCAACGAAGAGGCTGCGGTGGAGAGTTTGCTTCTGTAAATATATCCATTGACTTAAGAGATGTTGCACGACTATTGATTTGTCCTTGTAAATTATTGCATTACTCCCTGTTTCCTCTCCATTTCCACTTCCGAGGGAGTAAATACTTTGAGGTGGACAGTAGATGGCACGATAAAACTCAAGGCTAAGATATATATCATGTTATTCAAGTTCACTAGCGGGCTCAGTCGCAGACTACTCCGTACACCATCGTTTTTAGACGCCATTTAAATCATTTAGGGCCTATTACGAAAGGCCTTTCTTATCAATGAAGTTATTCGTAGCTAGTCTATAATTCATAAGCATTCAACTAAAACCACCATCCTGACAATGATTCTCCAGAGCAATGCAGCTTGTATTGCTTCGCTGTCAGAATATTAATCTGTGATAACGTTAATGCTGGCTCCTACAGACCCACGCACTGGGAGAAATCAAAACTGGTTCAAGATCAGGTATTACGGTTGACGCATAAATATTCTCTAGTATATTGTAGCCCACTGATGGCCTGGTCCTCTTATTTAGAGGTACTTCTATTACGTAGATATCACTACAATCTGTCCTCTACCGGAGGCACCAGTGTGGGCCAAAAAAAAAAAAAACATATTTATTACACTGACGTAAACCTTTCCTGTGCTTCCCACGATGACATTTACCATCCCACACAAAACTAAAGCATTGAACAGTAGAGTCTCCTTCAAACGTGGCCAGTCCTTGCCTCTAAACCACCCCATCCACCCGCGTGACGGGGACTGTGAAGCTCTTCGCGGTCTCGGTGATATTGACGTCACCGTGAGCGGTATACCTGGCTTCTCCTTCCATCCAAGTATGTTCGATGTGCAGGCTCCACGATGGGGGTGTCCCTGGCACAGCTTGCAGTTTGGCTTCGGTGTTTTTGTCCTGGCACGGGCTGTAGTCGTCTTCGGCAGGAACGCCAGAGCAGGAAGTTTTGAATCTGGAGGGCCCGGTGGTATTGCTCACGATGTTGAAATTGTAGTTGCAATCTTCTGAGCCGCAGGTGATAGCGAAGTCGGATGCCTTCCATTCAATTGGATGCTTCCAGGGACTCGCCAGGGTGAATCCGACAATGGAGAGACCGACGGCGAGAGTAGCGTGAAGCTGCATAATGGAAGTATAATATCTCGTTGATGGGTGATTATGAACAGAGAGACGAGGAGAATATGATAGTGAACACGATGAGATATGTCAAAGATATTGGTAGATTAGCTGAATGAATTGCGATATACAGGTCTGGTACGACCAAAGCGGAGCGGACGCAATACTCTTAAATATTTCAACGTGATGTCAATAGAGAGACCCCAGTACAGCGCAGTAGCACTCTGAAACATCCTGCACCAACATCTCAAACCGTGATGGGTAGTTTTGTCCGGATGTGGAGCAGATCCAATTTGTGGGCAGTTAGACTTTGGACGATCTAATTTTGTGAATGGACCCACCAGATACACTTGACATAACAGCAACGAGGTTACATCCATGGTTCCTTCAATGACAATTATTGATATTTAGTCTGGGGATGTTCCAAATTTAGTTCGTTTTGGTTTCATCCTCAAAGTAAGAAAGCCACGCCTTTGCTACTGTTGAATGCCTTGGCCGATTTCCTGGACTAATGGAAAACAAATGTTAGCATCGTTTACGTTGCATTGTCGTAAATATCGAGCCAAGGGGGATTACAATTATTCGAAACTATCTTCTTCAAGAGGTTTAAACGCCTCAGCCACTGTAGATCATGGTATAGAGCCGAGCCTTTTTCAAGGCAGCCGACGGTCGAACCACGATGGTAAAACGACGAAGTCATGTCCCACACGCCAATCATAGCTAGTGATGCCTTAGTATCTGGAGTGCGGAATGTCTCGATTAGACTATGTATTGGTTATCTATGAGAAGGTTGGACTGGTCCAACAATTTGGTAACTGAATGTAACTAGCATGTCGACGAGACAAGATAGGCAAGAATGTAGCCCACAACTCGGCCACTACATCTGTTCGAGCAATGTAAGCCAATAAAATATGGTTCATAAATTAGACCACAATACTGAGATCAAATAAATTTAGCAACATACGACTAGGTTGTGTTTCGTCTTGACGCAACCTAAAAAGGGCCCTACTGTGGGGCATCCCTTTTGTATGGTTAAAAGCAAGGGTGGAACATACTTCATGGAAGACCTATTTGTAGACCTGTTCGAAACGCACCCGTACTATATATAGCATTTCCCGTACTATTGAGTGCACCTGTTGCGATCTGCTGCACATGGCTTCATAATTTTGCTATCAATACATGAGAAACCCCAGGGTAAGCATCGTGGTACAGCGTTTAGAGGCGCTTCCGAATGCTTATCGGAGTGGTTTGGGCAAACGACGTGAAGAAAGAAACTTGTATGGATCCTAGCAGTAGTTGGCTGGGACTAACCCTGCAAACAACATGGGCATTATATTAAAGCCACTGGACACTGAGCACAGCGACTGGCTTGTCTTGGCCATTGTTGGATAGCCCTGGTGCATTCCTCGCCCTATCCACAACTGGACCAGCAGATAGCTACCTTCCATAGAGTATTATGGCAAGTTTCAAGCCTTACGTTCACTAGTCCATTATGATAAACGTAGCCACTGAGATATCCCTACCTAACAGCCAAGCTTGAAGAATAGTTTTGGGTGGGTTTCTTTTTTCTATTAGACAATACACTAAATACCAATACATGAGAACGGTGATAGTATAGACTTTGGGGGTGGCTATTCACACGGTGAGGCTGATTTCGAGAGATGAGTAATTCAGCGAATACATCAAAAACCACTTCAGTTTGAAATCAATTATGGCGCAGGTCGAGCTGGGAAGACTGAAATTAGTTATTCCCAGATACCCTGTCTCGAGAGCTACTATCAGAATGGCACTTATGGAAACACAACTCAAACTGTCACGCCTGTAGACCATGATCTCCAATCTGACCATCAGGATATCTCTATCTGAGGGCCACTGTACACCTTCCTCGCTCGGATAAAGTAGTACATAAGGCTAAGTATAATAACGCCTATCGTTCCAACAATGCTATAGTTCATCGTCTTTGTATTAACATCGTTAGTCGTAGGCCAGAAGCCAAAGAACGTAGCGATTGTCATGTAGGCCAAGGAGAAGGTATTAATGGTTATACCCAAGATGCCAGGAACTCGAAATGGTCCCCAGACTAGCCTAGCCCCTGCCGTGTTGATCATAGTGTGCTCGCCCTCGGTCGCGCCCCCAATTCCGCCGGTACAGCGGCGGTAGAGCAACATTCCTCCAGCAGCCATGTATGATAGGTAAAGACCCGAAATAGACATGGACACCAAGCTGTTGAATGCCACGTCTGATCCGATGGTAATGAGATTCAGGAGGCACCCGACAACTGCCGTAAGAAGGACTGCATATGTTGGGATGGATGTACGTTCAGTCACCTATCGAGCTTTCAGTTTCAATGGGCAGGCCAGTCTTATACTTAAGGGGATCTGTATACCTTGCTCCACATTCGCCAGGCAGGGATACCTCGGTCACGAGAGAAGGACCAAAATTGGCGCGATGCTGCTGTTAAGGTGCCAATTGTGTTACAACAGCCCAGGGACGTTACCAAAGCACCTGCTATCGCCGTGCCGGATACAGAGCCTGTTGCCTGCAGAAAGATGGCAAAGAAAGGTACACCTGTCGGGGATTGAAGCGCAGCTTGGATATCACCAAGACAGAAATATAAGGCGAGCATCATTCCAAAGCCCATGGACCCATTAATTAGTACTGTTAGCATGAGCGAGAGGGGAACAGCGGTGGTTGCATTGGTCATCTCTTCAACCATCTATATCGCGAATGTTAACATATTCTTCGCCATGGAATAACCACCGTGGACATACATGGACTGCAGCATCACCGCCAGCGAAAGCGAAAACAGGACCAGTCAGTCCGACAAAGACTGACAGCGCATCTGAAGGCCAATTGCCTTTGTTGATGAAGTAGGTAAATACTTCTTCGGCCGACGACTTGTGGTCTGCCATATAGGTCAAGGGAACCAGGATCGCGAAAAACCCCAGGACATGGAAGATTAGAATGGTGCCCTCAAATCGGGGAAGAAACTTGCCGCCAACGATATTGATGAGGGCAGAGAGGGCAGAGAGTCCCCATGCATATAGAGCTTTCCGCCATGGGTGTGGGACATACTCTGACCTGGTAAGGATAATAAGGGCTTGGATCATGTTCCCGTTCAAGTACATGGCGGATGCGAAAGTGGCTTGCCATCCGATCACGGTAAGCCAACCTATCCTTATCGTAAATGACCAAACTCCAGGCAGCTCTTGAGTTTCCTGGCATAGACGTACCTGTCATATAACTGGCCAACTTCATTGCCGATGGAGGGGCCAACATCGAGCACCAATGGTACTGTCCTCCGGACGTAGGAGCCCTGGCGATCGCTCATCAGTTCTCCCCAGGTGCGTATCCCTAATGGAAGCTTACATCGACACAAGCTCAGATATTACGACAAATGTGGCGGCAATACCAGCCCAGACGAAAAGAAAGCCATAGACAGAGCCAGCCGGGCCACCGCTGGGTCTAGGTCAGTAATCGATTCAACACACGTTGATGCAGCGGATGCAAAGTACTTTTGAAAAGATTGCAGAAACAATCTGTTGGAAGAACCCTAATGTAAGCCATGAGGTCGTCACCGCGCAGGGTCAAGGACAACTTGCATGATATATCCCTCCCATGTGACCAACAGGGTGCAGCTAAATCCTAGCATTGACATCAACCCAAAGTTTCTCTTTCGAAGGATGATGTTAGTACCTCCGTCAGAGATGGAATTGTCAAGGGAGCTTCACCTTCAAAACAGGGCGCTTCCCCATGCGAGTCAAATACACATCGTCCTTGTCTCGGTAGATCGGTTGTCCCTCCATCTCGCTCAGCACCGGAGGCGCCATTTGCTTCAATTCGTGCGTAGACATCTTGGAGAAATTAGTGGGTATTGGCAATGACCATATATGGACGAGTATACAAATATTCGGACGATCAATCACGGAACTCTTCAACAGAAATGCGTGAAGAGGAAGAAAAAAGAATTTGGGAACACGGACAGAGACCGAGGGATTTACAACAGCTCTGGCCCGGCCCACATAGCCAATCAGTAGCAGGGCCAGGGTCCCTGAATACTCTCCGTAGTCCCTGCTGTACAAAGTACATGGATTAGGCAGTCGAGAAAGTCTACAAATCAGATGGCAGCTGTGACAGGCTAATCAGGCGACACCGAGCACCTGTGTGAGGCGAGAACGCAACCTGACATGGGTACCCATGGTGGAAAAGCCCAATTGAAGTCGGGGATCGCAGTTATCGCCCCTCTCGCAAGACATTTCGGATGCACTGGGCGTGCAGATCAGTGGTCTGGATCCGCTTTTGACGGGTTGATAGCCATGTCCCCGTTGTGGGTATGCCCTCCCGCCGTACAGGGAATATCCGGTCTAGTTTCCTACATCCTATAATGATCTACCATTATTCCTACCGGAAAAGGGAGAGGTAACATTACTAGGAAAAGTAGCGACAGGACGATGATGTGGGCAAGGGAAAACAGAAAAACAAAAAAGGAGAGAGTAAACAAAGAGGGAGAGGTAGTAGCGAGAGAAGAAGGGTCGTACACGGCACAGGAATGGGAGCATTTGAATAAGCGAATGGTAAATTCCACAACAATCAAGACTGAATTTCTACTATCCTACTAACGTAGGACAAGCACAGAAATTAAACGGAAACAGGGCCTGCATGCCATCTCATACCGACTCGGTAACAGTCCATGTGCGGACTTCGTGGATAATGTGAGCCTGGCTAGACTGGCTTCCCTCATCCCAGTCTCGTTTTGATGATGACGCAGTAACTGCTGCTTGATAAGAGCTCTTCAAGGGAGAAATGGTCTGAAGTTCATGCTGCTGGCAGAAAAGGTCCTCCTGCTTACAAGGTCGCGTCGTCGCTGCATCACATCTCGCGCCAGAAGCACTGTGACGCGATATTCCATCAACGTAGAAGCCCAACGAGCGAAGGTTCTCTATGAATGGCTTCAATTCAGGCGAACAGCAAGTGATAAGGCCCAAACACTGGGTCACTTGGGTAGAGATGGTAAACGGCGAGGTATCAGCCGTCGGATCGGGGGACTCAACCGCTTGGTTGGCGTAAAAGGCCTGACAAGCGCCGGCAGCAATAACGCTGGAGAAGAGATCAGTCATGAATAGAATATATGAGAAATGTTTTGCCGCTCACCAGGTGCGTAATCCAAAAATCATCGCCAGTGCGAGCTTCCTCTTCAAGCGCATCTGAAGCCGCACGATGATGAAGATCCCATGAGCCATTATCCCGGCGTCGGTCACAATATTCATTACACCCATATAATTCCACCAGTTTCCACGCTGGATGCATTCACCGTGGAGATAGTCCCATGTCCGAGGCAATTTACATTGGAATGCAGCAGTGAGAATACCAATACCAGCCCATAGGATAGTCAAGACCTCCAGGCCAGCAGTGATAAGTCGATCAGGATTGAATGGCGGCGTCACATTTCGGATAAAATATATGACTGATAGTTTGGAGAAAAGCATGCTGGAGATAAATAGAATCGTGGCAGCATATTGAGACTAGTGGACTATGAATAGCTTAGAGAGACCCATGCGTGGAGGAGCTCACCTTCATGATATTTTCCATGCTTGTCTCGGAGAGTGACATATAATGCTTGCCATATCCATTTGCTGTCGCCATGGAAACAGCTATCGATTGCGCTACACAGATAACCTGGAGAAGCCTTGGTTATTATGGCGCGGTCATAAAGCTGTCAGTCATAGCTGATGATCTTACCATTGATGCAATGCAGAGGTAGTCGTCCGCTGTCCACCGTCGGATGATCCAATATTTAGTTCCAAGCCGAGCAAAGACCACAAGAATAGCCGTAATCATGAAAAGCCACGTCAGAACACGACTATGGGCTGCCCGCTATCGGGTTCAAACTTGCTCATTGCGCCGGTTGAGTGAGCAAACAAGATGTGACCCTCTACCACGGTGAAGGTCTTTCTCAGCTACCATCACTGACTCGAGCATTCCCACCTAAAGTTTGTCGTACTGCACTATGACTCTTACGAGTACCCGAGCGACTGGGGTATTACTCTTCCTGTTATTTGGGCGGGAAATAATCCTGGGGAGAAAGAATATTTTGCCCCGACCCTGGCAGGGATACCATCTTCCAGGTAGAATCAATTTCGCACACACCCTGTCGCTAGCCTTGTAGTCCTTATGGGCCGCTGGAGAACGTTTTCTCAGGGGTCATTCTGTATAGTTCTGTAATTTTCGTGGGACGCTAGCAGACATATTATAGGATTGTGTCCCCTGACCGAGTGCGACGTTGCCCTTGCTAAAATGTCGGTCGACGCAAACCCCGATCCATGTCTATAGCAAAGGATGCTACTTTCTCCACTCCTTTGCCCGCCCGATAGATGAAACAAATGTACGCAGAGCTACCTCCGATACCCGTTACAGGATCGCTTTCACTGTTCCCCGATCAAAAACGGCAACGAACCACATGTATGCTAGAATCCTAACGAAGGATGATCACAAGTAGCTATTATCAAGGCTTTTTGTTGAGCAGGCGGTTTAGCTTGTTTATAATGAGTACTACTGATGCAAAACTCCCTACATAGATAAGGTTTAACGGGAAATTTAGAGTACTGGAGTATTTACGTCATGTATCTCTCAATCTTTCGGTATAACAACAGGAAAGAGTGCTTTTACTGTGAACGCATTAGTTAACTAAGAAACGTATATTTACTGTTTGTTGTACACCGTAGAGAGCTAGCTGGTATTGGTGAATCTTCTTCACCAAGTCCTGATCCACTTAGTCACGCTAGATATATATATTTCAACAAAACTACTGTAGTGACTGATTAAGGAGACACAGTTTGTCCGTTGATAAGCAATCCTGTAATGAGGGACAAACGACTAGATGAAGTCTCGTTATGCCAGAATATTAAGCAATTTCCATACGAAACGATTCCTGATAAGTGATAACGAGGATATTAGTAAAGACGACAAGGCCGAGGAACATGGCCGGGGTTTCCGTCCAAATCCGCGGATGGTCGAGAGACCGGGGAAGCGAGGTATGACTTGAAGTGATGTGCAGGACATCCGAGGAACTCCAGATTTTGCCTTTACCTTTTCCGATTTGTATTATATGGTGGACAGCTAAGAGGCAAATTTCAGGGTGAACCTCGGCATCGCACACGAACCAAGAATCGGGATCGGCCCGATAGGGCTGGCCAGGGACTGGACAACAGCGACCACTAACGACCAACTTGGGGAATGAGTTCATCGCAACAAGTAAGCCTGAATGCCAGTCAATTTCTTAATCATGACAACAGCACAAGTCACCAGTGGGACCCAACGGGCTCGGCATGGAAATCAGCAAAAGAGTGGTTCGGCTCAACCAGTGGATCGGCCGAAGCTAATCCATCGCGCTGTGACATCATCGGTCGGCGCCGTGGGAAGTTTTCATCCTCACCCAAGTTACCTTTGCTCCTCTCTCTCTCTCTCTCTTTGGTTCTTGAAATCATACGTACTACGGAGGGGTGTATAACAAATGCACTTACAAAGGATTGGTATACACCAGCATCATGGCAGCAGCAACAGCTTCACCGGTCCGCCCGCATCAACATGGCCTCACGGCGGGAGATTGGCCGGATGAGCATCTCAGTGCCAGGCGTCGCTCGGTTGGTGGTGGCCAGGCGCATGTGCGAGAGCAGGGATTGAATACTGGTGTTCGGGTGATGGGTTTGTATTCCACTCTCTTCTACACACGGGGATGACGGAACGGTGTCTCATGGTCAATAGATGACGGACGATTGGATATCAAGTTTCGCGAACAGAAGCCCTGGCTGCTCAATCTGATTAAGCATCTGGAACGGTACCCGACGCCTGCGCGGGGACCGTAGACCGTCGGTTATGTCGATAGAAGGACAGGACACGTTTCCCTTGCGTTTAAACGTCGTTATCCACGTGGTGGGTTCTCGCGGTGACGTGCAGCCATTCGTCGCGTTGGGAAAGGAGTTACAGAAGCATGGACACCGGGTCCGACTGGCTACCCATCTCGCCTTTCGTGAATATATCAATGAAACTGGGCTGGAGTTTTTCAACATTGGGGGCGACCCAGCAGAATTGATGGCGTTCATGGTAAACAATCCCGGTTTGATGCCGGATATGCGGACGATTCGCAGCGGCGCGATCCCAAAACGCCGTCGTGAAATGAAGGCTATTTTTTCCGGGTGCTGGCGCTCGTGCTTTGAGACTGGGGATGGGACGGGCATGCATCATATCAAGGAGGATCCGTGGAGTGAGGCTCCAGATTGCACCAGCCAGCCGTTTGTCGCCGACGTGATCATTGCGAATCCACCTAGTTTCGCGCATCTTAGCTGTGCAGAGAAGCTGGGAATTCCGGTAAACATGATGTTTACGTGAGTTTGTCCGTGTTCTAGCGGAAGTCATCGTGTGCTGAGATTGTAGGATGCCATGGTCGGCGACACAGTCATTCCCCCATCCATTGGCCAATGTCCGAGCGCGTAATACCAAGCCATCCGTTGCGAATTTCGCGTCATATGCGATTGTCGAGGTGATGCTATGGGAAGGACTTGGCGACCTGATCAATCGCTTTCGGAAGAGGGAGCTGGGCTTGGACCCCTTGGATGCCATCCGGGCTCCCAGCATCGCACATCGGTTGCGTATACCATATACCTATCTTTGGTATGTTACGTGCTTGTAAACGTCCACATAGATGCTAATCACATCACTATAGGTCTCCATCCCTCCTCCCCAAGCCGCAGGACTGGGGTGAAAATATCGACGTGTGCGGGTTCCAGTTCCTAGCCAGCGACACGAACTACAAGCCACCCGACGATCTCGATGCATTCCTTAAAGCAGGCGACCCCCCGGTGTATATCGGTTTTGGTTCCATTGTAGTTGACAATCCCGCTAAACTGACCGAAATTGTATTCGAGGCTGTCCGTCTTACAGGGAAGAGAGCGCTCGTGTCGAAGGGATGGGGCAATATTGGAGAAGGAAGAGCGGAGATTCCCGAGAATGTCATGCTGCTGGGCAAGGTTCCACACGACTGGCTTTTCCATCATGTTTCATGCGTCGTTCACCATGGTGGTGCAGGCACCACTGCTGCCGGGCTGGTCCTGGGTCGTCCGACGGTAATTGTACCCTTCTTCGGTGATCAGCCGTTCTGGGGATCGATTGTGGCGCGCGCAGGCGCTGGACCACAGCCCGTGCCATATAAACAACTGACCGCAGAGAAACTAGCAGAAGCAATCAACAAAGCTCTAGAGCCATCTACTCTAGAAAAGGCCGAGGAGATAGGCAAAGGCATGCGGACGGAGAGGGGTGTGCAAAACGCCGTCTGCAGCTTTCATCAACATCTCGATTTGCGCAGGCTGCGGTGCGCTATATGTCCCACCCGGCCGGCGGTATGGTGGCATAAACATCTGCACATCAAGTTGAGCACATTTGCGGCAGCCGTTCTGGTAGAGGCTGGGCTTGTGGACCCGCATAGTCTTGAACTGTGAGACACTCTTTCCTTCAGGCCAACGTGTTCTGTGACTGTTAACTCATACTTTTCAGGTATCGCTCTATGCACTACGACACGAACCGTGATCCGCGAGGACCGCTTTCCGCCAGTGCTGAGGTGCTATATGGGGTTGTCAGCGGTTTCATCAGCGGTCTTGCCACTGTGCCTACAGACCTGGCTGGAATGCTTTCCAGGGAAAACCGCAAAAGAAAGCGTCACAATCACCATCGCCATATCGGTGACCGAGATTGGATAAAGTCACATTGTGCCGCAGGCCTAGCGCAGGCGAAAGCACAAAAAGGGGAGGGGCCTTCCAATTCCCATATCAATGGCGCCAGTCGTCAAGACCGATCTGAGAGCGATGATGGGTCATCCGCCTCAGAACCGGGGAGTGAAAGCGAATATGCTTCAGCCGAGGAAGGACAGTCAGGCAGCAGTAGTGCAGATACAGCGGTTGATGACTCCGATGCCGATAACGCTGCGAATGAACTCGATCTTGAACGCACGCTGACTCGCAAACAAGCTACAGAACAGAAAATCGGTGCGCAAGAGATTCTAGCGGAAACAAGCTATCACACCTCTAAGTTTGCCAAGCAAGTGCTTAATTATGCTATCATGTTACCCACCGATTTGGCGCTGAGCTTAGCCAAGGGCTTCCATAACGCACCAAAGCTGTATCATGATACAACGGTGCAACGGATCCCGAGAGTACGCAATGTGAAGAGTGGCTTTCGAGCAGCCGGGATCGTGAGTGATTGCCCTATGCGTGGTCTTCAGGCAGGATGCTGACAGTGGACAGGAATTCACAGAAGGATTCTACTATGGCATTACCGGCCTTCTGACGCAACCTGCTCGGGGCTTCCAGAAGTCCGGTGGTAGAGGCTTGGTAAAGGGCGTCGGGAAGGGTATGGGTGGTGTGTTCTTGAAGCCAGCTGCAGGTATGCCTTTCTCGAATACATTATATTTCTATTCCTAGGCTAACCTACAACCTCAATAGGCATCTGGGGACTAGCAGGCTTCCCGCTGGACGGACTACACAAGAGCCTTCGCAGTTCCCTAACAAAGAACAAGACGAAGTACATCTTACGGTCGCGACTAGAACAAGGCATCCAGGAGATGTGTGCCTCATCAGCAGAGGAGAGAGCTGTCGTGGTTAAGAAATGGCGTGAGCTGGAAAAGAACCATCCTCGGAATCAGGATGGCCACGCTCATTAGCAAACTGCAGATACCCTTGAGATATGTAATTATACCTATCATGCATGTATATTAACGACGATATTCGTACAAATTTGATACATTTAATGAACGACACTTGATGCCCATATCCTTGGCTCACTGGACAGAGATCTTTCCTCCACCAATCTTGACGTTGGCCGCCCACATACCACGACCCTTGGTCATATTCTGCCCATTATTGAAAGCATGGAACACAATCGCACCTCCATCCTGGCGGAAATCAGAGCCACCGGGACCACCCAGCGGTCCGCCGTCACTGTTATCCCCTGAAACCAGCAGCGGCGCGTCTGGAGCCGACGCCTTGATGTACGGACCGGTTACGGCCGATGCGACGGCGTAGCTAACATCGTATTTCAAGGTGTTGTACCAATTTGATGAGAACGACAGGTAGTACTGGCCACCGCTCTTCACGAGGCTAGGTGCTTCGACCAGTGGCCCGTCGGCATCGTCGCGATCAATCAACTGTACGGCGTTCCCGTCAGGAGTCACAGCATCCGACTTCAGCTTCTGCAGCATGATAGGCGTGGGGTGGTACTCGCTGCCCTGGTTAAGACTGTTGCCGTCAACCTTATACACAACATAGTACGTTCCGTCGTCATCTTTGAAGCCCGCAGCATCGATGGCGCCGCCTTTGCTCTTATCACAGGCAAGTACATCTTGCTCCGGCGAGTAGGGACCAGTAACTGACGAAGAGGTTGCGGCGCCAATACAGTGTTTACTGTTGGTTCCGCTGGTTGCGGCGGAATAGTATATGACGAAGGTCCCATCATTCTGTCATACTTAGTGAGAGTTTTTAATTTGCATTAAAAACTTCCTTAGACTCACCCGTTGGATAACATCTGGAGCCCAGACCTTCGGATGGCTCCCATTTACCCAGCTAGGGAAAGGACCTGGAAGCGCGTCTTGACCATCCAAGACCTTCCACGTGTTGAAATCTGCAGAATGAGCTATTTGAGTATTGACCCCGTGTGAAGAGGTTGCAAAGGCGTAATATCCATCGTCAGTCTTGATGACGCTAGGGTCGGGGAAATCCGTGTCGATAACTTTCCAGGGCTCGCCCAAAGCACTACCGAAGCAAAGCGACAGCGCGAGAATAGGCAGAAGACCGATTTTCGATAATGAGGGTGCCATCGTTGTGAGCCAGCAATTGTGTTGTTTGATTCTCATCGGTGCATGGGGGCTACAGCCGCATTATATCGTTCAAACAATGTGTTAGGGGATTTTGTCCTGCCCACTTGCATTTGGCCTGATTTGCTCGATCTGGAAATTGGCTGGGGGGGGATCAGCGTATCTCACGACAATACGGGAATGGATCGGCATAGCCAACACGGAAGTTGAAGGCTGATTGAGCCTCGGCGGAGTAGGCTGTGCATGATGTGAACATTGACAGCCCCTAGTCCATCGAATACGGGTCCTGGACCGAGTTAGCAGCTTTGAATCTCCAGAAATAGATCAACATCACAGCAATGGCAATGAGAGTGTTGGATTTGCACACTGCACTATCCAGTGTGATTCAATGGGCCTATCTCTATACTCTATACAACAAGTACTATTTAATACACGCATTACTCAATGCCACCGCCACTAGCTGATGTAAGAGGTCGTCGGCTTATTTACAGTACGTGAGGAGAATGGACGTGATTACTTGGGCAAAGAACCTATTATTGCCCTCTATGTCCAGTTATATTTGAACGCAATAAAAAGCCATCCGTTAAGGGGATATCAGGCCTGTAGGAAAGCATTTATGTAACATATTGGGCGCATAGAACGGGATAACCAAGAGAGACGTTAGGCTCAGAATTAAAGAAGACAATTTCGAGAACTTAGTAAATACATCTTAACGCCACCCCCCTGCATCCATCAGAATTACTCATGCTCCATGGCAAAAAATCAATTATTGTTGTTCATCTTCACTTCTCACGGCTGATGTATATGCATGTGTCCGGACGCTGGGTTGCATCTACATGAATATTTCTTTCGTAGATAATTCGGTTCGAAAAACCACATGGTTTCTGTGGAACTGTTCCATGCCTCATTGGGGACCTGTAGTCATATATAAATATACACAAATATGTGATTAGCTACTCAGTTCATCGATATCAGGTTCAAAGATAGATTGCACATTACCTGGTCGGGTGTCAAATTGATATTTGCTCTCCCCTCTGTCATTTCCAAAGCCCCTGTAAAGCCGGGACGAGGAAACAATCGAAGTCCAATAGTCTCTTTCAATCCCTCATCCTTAATACAGCGTATAAAGTCATGGAGAAATGGGGCCATGACAGCTAGGTCAGCTTTCGTATCATGGCAAACTGGCGAGAAATAGAACTCATACGGAACGAGGCCGGTGCCATCAATCATCCAGGCACAAGGTAGAATTCGGCCTCCGCTATGCCTGTCACCCTGCTGGTGCATCCATGGCATTGAGACATTGTTAAACTCAACCAGCTTTTCCTTGTCTGAGAGATCAAAGTGGCGGTGCAATAGACCAACGCCAAGCGTGAATTCCAATCGATGCTGAACGATCAAAGGTCCGAGGACATTGTTGACCAGCTCAGGGCCGCCGTTAGCTACGAAGTCTTCATGTGCGTGGTGCAGCTCAGGCAGGGAATTGAAAGCTGACGTGCTGTAAGGCTTTTCGATATCAGCCATAGTGAGAGCCGGGAGAGTATGAGAAAGACTAGAGAGGATGAGGAAAGCTAAGGCACTCGGTTCAGGCTGAGATCTTCATAAGAAGAAGGGTGCGCCATATTGCCTTTAATTAAATAGTCTTCAGTAAGACCAGAGACGATTTCAATTTACGCTCAATCGGCCATATACGGCCAATGCCTTCCCCAGGGTCTGCCCACCATTGTCACGAAGATCATGAGATATTCTGCAAAGGCTCCTATGGGAGGAAAAGCTCTCAACACCCCGTCTAGTGGGCATGTCGCACAAGAAAGATAAATGAGGGGCAATTAGTTGCCATGTATTAAGCAACCAATTCCATTCTGACCGCTTCGTATATTATCTTTCGGATCCCGATGCATGTTCCCGTCTGACGCGTCCATGATGCAGCAGCCAATTGACATTTGACAACGCTCCATAACAATAGCCCATGGATCACAGCGGACGATTCCCCTTGTTATATAATTGGATAACGATATACTGTGTAACTCAGTACATGTATGACAGGTATCTACCGCGATGACCCAATAACCCTTGCATAATATAGTGGTAGCAGGTCTAAGTATATAAAGCATTTCTCGTAGTCTTGCTGGACTTCCTGAGAAGTATCACTTCTCAACTTTTTCCTTGGCTCTGGACATGCTTGGCAGCTCAAACATTTTCCGAGCAAGATGAGATCCGTGGACGAGGTTCTGAAGCTCCTCAACAAGCAAGCCCTGCTTGAGGTTGCATCTTCCCTCGCTGGCACTCCAGCCTGTCAGCTAGATAACAACAGCTCACCTATCACTGGACCTGGTTACATTATCTTCATCATCAGCTTTCGCGATAGGCATGAGCGATGGGCTGCAAGGATACCCTTGAACCAGGATGATTCCTTTTTAGAGATTTGTATTAGACCAATCCAACTTGCCCGAAAGTCTCCAAATGTTCCTGCTCCTCGTATACACGGGCATTTTGACTGCGGCTCTTGCGGCTACAACCCTGTCGGGGTTGGTTACATGTTATTAGATTGGATTGAAGGGTCACCCATGATGCCATGGGATCAATCCACCCCTCCAGTACCATATCGGCAGAAGGTCCTAGACCAGATCACCGACCTTATACTCAACATGATTCTTGAGTGTCCACTGGACACTGAAACCTTATTTTATGGTACGTCTGCTTGCAGCCATACCATCGAGCCATTCTCACGTCAATAGGGGTACCCGACGGGACTCCCAAGGGCACACAGGTATCAACCAGCGTCTGGCTCACTGAGAGTGTGGACAGAGGCATACGTCGTACGCTGCGGCGCCAAGACTATTCCACTGCAATCGACTATCTAATTCAACGATCAATGATTCCCCGATATGTTGTTGCGCAGCACGAAAATTGCCCTTGGGTTTTTGTCCATGTCGATCTCCACAATGACAACATCATAATTGACGAGGAATATAACATCAAAGGGTTCGTTTAACCCCTAACGTTGACACCTAAGCGCTGTCGTTCCTTGAACATCATGCCCTGTGCAATACTGATCATTCCCCAGTATCATCGACTGGGACTGCAACTTTGCCGTACCACTACAGAAGGCTGCGACACTCCCAAAACTACTCGAAAATGTGCCTGGCGCCGCGCCTCTAAGTTTACCAGAGACTCACGCATATCTAGACCTCGCGGCAGACAAGAGCTATTTCCTATCCATTCTCGCGGAAAAAGAAAGGAAGCGAACAAATGGAACGTCAATCACACGACTCATGGAGACCTCCAGTGAACGAAACTTTTTCGAGATGTCCCACCACCGCGTCCCTGTCCACCGTGAATTTGTGAGCAGATTCTGTCCACGTACAAGGGAAAATGTCCTTGCCGCATTAAAGGAGGTTGAGCGTTTTCTTGACATCAATGCGATGTTCAAAGCTGGCGACGAGGCTATCGCAAGAACTGTGCAGACGCTAGAAGCACTTCTCTATTAGTGCAAATAGGATCTACGTGGTTATATCCCAGGAGTCGGGATCAAGAGTAGTTCATTCCATAGGCCGTTCCAACCATGCTGCTGCAATAGCTCGGTCACTTCTAACTTCATGCAATTCTTCGGTACTATGTTTATCCATCTTGAGAATCGTAATTTATCATGTAAAGGGATCAAATGATACTATATTAATCGACTACCTAACACGCCGTCATCTCAACCAACATATGCCGCCTAATTCGTCGCGTACTTAGAAGTAATAGTATCATACTCCGACTGCGTTAAGCGTAAAACAGAACCATGTTTCAAACCCGAGGGGAGAGAAGCCGTCCTTGATTTCTCCCAAGAACCCGTGTTGATGTCGCTTGTCTGGAACGGCACGTACTCCTCATAGTTGTCAAGGAAC